AATGGAGGAGATATGAATGAAGGCTTTTTGTACATTTTTAGGAGATTTTCACATTTATGTCTCCCTAAATAAAATACAGGTTAGGTACAACACAAAGTATGTTCCTTTTAGTAGTTAGTTGTTTTGCTTTTGTTGTAATGCGGTGAGACAAACCAAACAATGTCCAGCATTTTTCTAACTCTACGAAACACGCTTAATTAATTAAAATTTTTAATACCTTAACTGTCACTGTCACATGTAAGTCATGGTTTCATGAGAACACCAGTGTCATCATGAAGGAAAAAACACAGAAAGGGTTTTTGACAAAAGTTCTCATTTTTGTTGCTGGTAAAAGACTAAAATAATTTCCTAAACCAAAGAGATACAGAAAAATTTGATCCAAAAATGTTCCTAAGCTCCCAAACAGCATCTTGTGTAGGTTGTCCACAAAACCAGAAATGGCCCTGGTATGAATATTACTGAGGAGCCGACAGTTCAGTCTGATGGCGTTTCTCCCTTGGTGGGTTGAAAGGAGTCAGTGTTCATGTAAAACAGGCTAACAATAACAACACAAGCAACTGACTGCTAATCGATTTTACACATCTGAGCAATGAGATCAATAACAGTTACCGAGGCGACCCTTGATCTCTCTGAATGAAACGCGCCGCTTTTCTTTAGCACTGTGAAAGCTTTTCTGCACCCAGGGATGTGGGACAAGCATTTGCAATGGCCAGGCCTGCTTTTTAGGACAGACGTCCCTGTGGATGAAAAAGTACTTCCTCTTTTGAGTCTCTTCTGGAATTTCTCCAAAGGGAACATTACTTACTCTTACCCACACCGGCGTTTTTGTGTATGCGCTCCCCCTTCTCGCTGTCATTCTCTTTTACTGTTATTCTGTCCCTCTGCGACTCGGTGCTAGCCTCAGGGAGATGCGAGGGATCCAACTCCCACACAATACCGACCCAGTCGAGGTTTGAGTGGCGAATCCAGGGATCTAAAATAGGTAATGACACTCATGGACATTTGTTCCTCTCAGTTGGTTATGGTCGTCTCCCAAGAAGAAGCTCTACTATTGAAAGAAAGAGCTGTGGGTGCGCACGCAATTCAGAAAGGAATCTTCTGTCTGTAGAAGACAGAAGATTGCTGAGAGGAATAACCAGTGGCTCCAGAAAGCATGGAAAATTGTCAAAGGAATCAAACCTTGATTATGTCAAACCTCAGAGAGATTGATATTCCTCCAGGAATCATTCAGGCCACATTAAAACACGAATGATAAACAGTCCGAGCTAAAATGAGGATTGAATGTTGCAGTGATTTGAAACTCTGCACAAGCAAAAATTGGGGAAGATGCAGGTCTATGAGAAACGAGGATGGGGATTCCCAAGAATCATGAAAGGTACGTCTCTGCAGACGTACAGATGTCAGTTCTGGAATGGATTAAGCACCAAGTTGATATTAAACTTCCCAAACAACCCAATTTCTTCCCCTTTAGAGAATTAAAAACATTATATAATAAGAAGTCATAAACCCAACCAATTTAAATAAACTCCATTCACAATCTGACCAGAGACTTGTTGATAGCAAACCCTCCTCCCAAAAAAACACCCCAAAAGACAAAGTTGTAGTTTTTCAGCAACTTGTTAAAGGACAATCAAATGTTAACGGGACTGCAAATGCAGCCTGTATTATATGTCAATTTAAGCATTTTCACAAAGAATGACAAATCAGCTGATATTCAGCTAAAACCTCAGGAGCCCTTAGATTTGTATGACATACGTGCTGATGAAAAGTTTATTCTTAATTCTTACCAGAGCTGTATATTAAATGGTTATGAGTAGTTAAGAGATTTCAAGATAGCCTTTTCTGTTTGTAACTTGATGGACCCCTGGCTCTTAAGTTCTCCATAACTCTTGTATGTATCAACATTCTTTAGAAAAGCTGGTTTATTCTGAATTTGGCAGTGGACTTGTATATCAGAAAAGTAAAAGACCGAGGACTGAGCATACGTCCTTGAGGAACACCTGTGCCCAGTTTAATGGAACACTTTCAACTTTTTTTGTCATGCAAACTGAAATTTTTCTGATGTCCACAATATAAAATGTTTTTATGACAACCTTCCTTTGATTATTTTGTTTTTAGACAGTTAATCCAACTGAAAAGTGTTACTGCATCCATTTAAAAACTCAAGCTGTTCTCATACGTTCCTTCGCTTCTGAAGTTATTCTTGGTTTAAAAATAACAGTTTGATGGATGTTTTTAAGACACATAGTGGGTTCAACCACTTTGCTGAAGCCGCTCACTGAACAGATCTAAAGCTCCAGATTTCCCTTTAAAGCCTCTCCATCCGTTCATCCTTCCATCCATCCATATCCCACACTACTTCATGACACCTCACACATCTTTCTTGCCCCGTGCTGCGATGGTAGTGACGGTCTCCTAGCAACCAGCCCTCTTAGAGGAGGTGACAGCATTTGAGTGGGCACCCACACCTCTCCACATTCATCCCCTCCTCTTCCCTCTCCTCACCCCCCGCAACCACGACCACCCTCACCATCCGGAGCCACTTCGGGCCCAGTAAACACCTCGCTGTGGTGCATTCTGGTGTCGTGAACCTCAGGCCCACCGCCAGACCGATAATTGGGCTGAATTTAGAGATCATTGAAGTGATCAAGTTCAAAAGTTTTTGATCTAGTTTTGACCAGTTTGTACTACTGCTGTTAAGTCTTTGAGGGTATGTCTCTAGCTGCTTGCCTGACTTTTTTTTTTTTTTACCAACTTTTCACAGTAATTTTTTGACATTTTAAAGTCATAATTATGAGATATAAAGTCATCATTTTGAGATTGTCATGTTTTTTGACTTTTACAGTCATAATGATGAGATTCAAAGTCATAATTATGAGTTACAAAGTTGTAATTTTTAGAGACAAAATCATAACTTTGACTTTCAAACTCATATTTACAAGACGGTAGGGCAACCTTTTTTTTCCTGAAAAGAAGGTGTCTTTTTATCTTTTTATTCTTGACTTTGAAAGTTAAAATTGACTTGAGTCTCATCATTATGACTTTGTGAGTTGAAATTCTGACTTTTATTCTTGAAATTACGACTTTTATTCTCCTAATTATGATTTTAAAACTCATAATTATGACTTCCTGTTTGGCTTTTTTTTTTTCCATAGCCTGAAATTTTTACCCATTTCATTTTTCCTAAATCATATTAGATAAAAGCCATTTGTGAACAGTAATTTTTGAAGACTAGCCACAAAATCCAAGTTAGATTTAGTTTTGGACTTTGACTGGGTCTGTAGTAATGAGCCACTGTTATATTAATATTTCAGACATGTGTACATAATGGTTAAATAATGACATGGCCACTGGGTTTTCAATTAGCTTATACTGTTTACTTGGAATGTGATGGTATCTGCTCTGCTAGTTTTTTGGAACTCCCTTCTACTTTGCAATTATGCACCGTTTGTTGTGGGTCTGTCACAACAACAACAATAAAATACATTAAAGTTTGTTGTTAAAATGTGACAAAGTGAGGAAAACTATTTCAAAACGAAGTTTTAGGCATGTTTAGCCTAAACTTTACACCTGTGATGTCTGATCCATCAAACAGATGTGTCGTTACAGGACCAGCGTTCTTGATGGAACTGGTTCATAACTATATGTGGCAGTGTTCATACAGAAAGAATAACAAGATTTTGGAGCAGCATATGCTGTCTCCAAGACATACTTTTTTCCCAGGGACATTCATACATTTTTAATAAGTCAAAGCAAAGCCCCATTGTGCTCACATTACAAAGGCATGGCCTGGGGAAGAGCATGGCCTGCTGTCCTGACTCGCCCACAGTACGTTTTCTTGGGGGAAATTTCCAAATCAAATATGAGAGCACTGACCCTGTACTGTCGCAAACTTTACAAAAAACATTTAACTTAACCAACAGGACAACTAAAGGTTTGCGACAGTTTATGCTTTGGTATCGATCTGATACCAAATTAATACTAGGTCAGTATCGTCAATACCATTATCAATATCGACAATTTTTTGATATTTAAGTTTAAATATATATCAATGTATAAAAGTTTAATGATGTATCATTAAACTTTTGATCTTTTTATGTGTATTTGTGGTTTTTCCTTTGAATTATTTTGTTATAACATAGGACAGAATTTGTACAAAGTCCATAGGTGCCTCTAAAATACTTTAATAACATGTTATCATAATAAACATAATATAAAAATAAAACAATTTTAAGTGCTATTTTTCTTAATTAAGAAAATTGCAAAATAAAAAAGATAATTTGAGAGCAAATCAAAATGGTTTTTTTCTGAGGTAGAGTTGAGAAACTACAATACAAAAATAAAATTCAAAAGAGAATCTGAAAGTAAAGTATCTCTTTTACCACACTACTGTTGATGTGATACTGATATACACTTGGTATCAATATTATCAATATTTTGGATCAATCCATCCACCACAACATACTGTGTGATGTAGCTTTTCATTAGGCATCAGTGTGAGAGGCAGAATCACATCATTTATTAATTTACCTCTCTATGGATTTTTCTTATTTTTATTTAGACCCATAAAAATAACATGATTTTAAATCTGTATTGAAAGGCTGTTAGTGGTGATGATGTTCTAAATAGGGAGAGGGGCCCCACATCAAATTCTGCTCAAGGCCCTATACAACTTCAGACCATCCCTGTGAAAATTCAGATTCTATTACTTGAGATTAATTTCCACTCAAAATGACTCCCCCTGCTGATTTCTGAAGGCAATTTGTTTCATTTTTCAAATGTGTATTTGCAAAGAATGGAAGGAAAAAATAAAAGATGTTATTTTTATTCTGCTTCACAATGATTTAATACTTCTTCTCGGTTTGTCCCGTCAAATCCCAGTGATATTTATTGAACTTTGCGGTTTGCAACGTGATGAATGCGGAAGGTGTGAGGAGGTGTGTGTGTGTGTGTGTGTGTGTGTGTGTGTGTGTGTGTGTGCGTGTGTGTGTGTGTGTGTGAGCAGCGATTCCTCTGAGGCTGGAGTGTAAACCGCGGCACGCTGCGCTCGCCTTTACGCGTGCTGTAGCCTGGAGTCCCACTGATAAAGTGACGTGAGCGCTTGACGATGCTAAATGGCAGGACTTGAAATAGCCCGTACCTACCAGTCTGCCCTCCCACTTGCTGCGTGTCAGCACTACTGCAGCTCCTCCGCTTTGCTTTTGGAGAGAATTTTGAACTTAAAAAATAAAAAGAATTATTCATTTGAATCTTTTTTGGGGGTGGATAACTTTTTCGAGAAACTCGTAGCAGGAGGAGATGGATATTGATCGACCGACTAATGTCTCCTTTTTCGATTTCGTCGGAGGAGTCCAGCTCCTCCGGGGAGAGGATACCCGGACCGCCATGCCCGTCCTCCTGATCGGGATCTGCGTGTCCGGCGCGGTGTGCAACCTGCTGGTGTTGCTGATCTTCATCCGCGACTTCAGGAGCGGCAGGGGCTCTGAGGTGAAAGCCCTCCTCGCCTCGCTGGCCTCCACGGACCTGGCCATCCTGCTGCTGTGCGCGCCCGTGCGCGCGGTCACCTACTACAGACAGACCTGGACCTTGGGGAGCTTCGCGTGCCGTACCACAGACTGGTTCCAGCATTCGTGCGTGGTCGCGAAAACTTTCATCCTGGTCGCCACCACCAAAGCCAAGCACACGCTGCTGCCGCGCGCCGCCGCGTCGCAGCCCCTCTACAGCCCCACGTGGATCCACGGAGCGCTGGGGTTCATCTGGACGGTGTCCATGATGTTCCCCATCCCGCAGATGCTCTTCGCCGCCTTGTTGCCGCGCGGCGACGACTTCGTCTGCGTCTCCGAGATGCCTGTGTGCGCGTCTGACTTCATGAGTTTGTTCTACAAGATCTACCCGAGCGTGGCGTTCGTGGCGCCGGTCATCTTCACGATCGCGTACTACACCAAAACTCTGTACACCGCCGTGAACCACGCGCCGAGCCCGCGACATCAGAGCAAGGTGGTGCTGGTTCTGCTGTGCCTGAGCGGCGCCGTGGGGCTCATGCTGCTGCCCGAGTGGGGGACGTTCACGTGGATCAGACTGGGCTACAACAGACCCCCGGCGGGGCTGATGATGTTCGCGCAGGTCCTCCTTTACGCGTGCAGCGCCCTGTCCCCGGTCGTCCTGATGACCATGTACGACGACGTGCGCCAAGGACTGGTCGCGATCTGGTTCGTCGCGACGTGCAGGAGCGACAAGCGCGCACCCGAGGTGAAGTGCCCGCAGACCGAGGGGAACGGGGCGGAGGTCGCGGCGAACGCGGTGGGCAACGCCGTCTCACAGACGAAGGAGGCGACGTTCCCCGACGTGGAGCACTTCTGGACGGGGCGCCGGAACACGCACGTGGAGGACGAACACGATCCAGTTCCGTGGGAGAAAGAGGAGAAGATGCTGTAATGAACTTTTTATTGTTTGTTTGCTTTTTAGCAGGAGATTTTCAGTTTGTTGTTGGCTGCTTTATAGTACGTCCACTTAGACCTTTGCTAAAGGTGGCCTGTTCGGTATCGTGAGCATGATTAGATGTAATATAAACTTGTACACTATCATGGTTTGCTGTTATACAGAGCCGGCCCAAGGCATCGCAAACTGAGCAGCTGGTTATGGGCCTCCACGCCAGCAGGGGAACTAGAGAGCAGTAGAATTGTCACAAAAGTTTTAGAGTAAGGTTTTGTTTTGCACGTTTACATTTGGGATTCACAATGTTTAAAATGTTGTTTGTTAATTAGTGTAGTCTTTAAAAATGCATAGCAAAACTTTCTGTTCATTTGTTTTTATTATTACATTTTTTAACATTGGATTTCTTTAAAAAAAATGTCTTATTTCTTCATTAATACTAATGGATCAAAATAACTGATAATTTTAGTTGAAAATATAAATCAAACTTTTAAGCAAAATCTTTTACATTAGAATTTTGGTACATGAAAAACTGTAAGTACACAAATGTTGAGTATATATAAAAGTTATTTACTGTGCATATGCTTATTTATATGCCTTACCTATTTATTTATTTATTTATTTATTTATTTATTTATTTATTTATTTATTTATTTATTTATTTATTTATTTTCTTATAACTTGACAATTTTTTTATTTTCAAAAATTGTTAATATAATAATTTTTGTAGTACAATTTGAATTAATAAATTGTAAAATTCTAAATTTTACATGTAAATCATATCATGTTAAATATCAATCAGGAGAGATTAATAATCTAAATCTTTTTTTATTATTACAATGTACATTTTAGAATGTAACTCTAAATTTTGACTTTACTTTTCTGCTTAACATATTTTCGTTTTTTCACTTTATGTGAAGTGAATGTAATTCAAGCATCATGCAGTCCTTTGTCAATGTCAATCAATATAATACATTGTGTGAATGATCTGACTGTCTAGTTGTAAATAATAACTATAAATATTTCAATTATATAATATATGGATCAAATTATGTCTAACTCCCAATGAAGTCTTGGACCGGCTCTGTTGCTACTTACTGTTATTTTGAATATCTCTTCTTGTTTACAACTTTGATGCACTGTCTATATGACATTTGTTTATTGTTGTTATTTTTTATTTTTTGTAAAAATACAACTGTATATATGGAAACTCCGGCAATCAAGTTGTGATTCTCTTTGTGTGACACGTGAGCATTAAAACACTCTTACTTATCAGGACGGTCGTTGTTTTTGTTTTTAATGGCTATTGAACATGACTTTAATCAGAGATAAAATGCAGTTGGACCTGGATCAAATCTCTCAGTTTAATGAAGAATGCTCAGCGATTACATGCACAGTTCAGACAGAGATCCCTTTTCCCATATTAGATTGACAGCTAATCCACCGGGGCAATTTGGGTCATGTCATAAATGTTGTTTTAGTGAAACCATCATTTACCTAGATTCACTAGTTTCCAGTTGTCTCTTTATTATTGTTGATGCATTTTTTTTTTTTTGTCCCAGTTTGAATCAATGAAAAATTCATTTTTTCACAGACGTTTTCTTTATTCTTATTATTTGGTTACTATAATTTTAATCATAAAACAAATTTTACTACTAATAAGTTATATTTACTTGTTTGTTTTGTAGATGGTGAATATTGTTTGCTTCAATTTTTTTTTACCATTTTTAAAATTTTTTAGGGCGGGGTTTAAACTCTAAATTTCTAACTTTTAAGCAGTGTGGATATTTATAGCATTTAGCTTTATGAATTTATATATCTCAATAAAAGGTCAAGATTTCTTTGAAAAAAAAAACCTGTCTAGGTATTATCAGCAATACTTTGCTTACCTTTTGTAGCAAAATGTCTTTTTACTTCAGGTTTATTTGGAACCGTTACATTTTCTGAGGTGGAAGCTAACAGCTAATGAGACATATGCTACTTGTTTTAGCTAACTTTAGCATTTTAAAGCAACTGAAACAGTACATGTGTCTTTGTAGAATCCATTGCTAACAAGCTATGTTAGCATTATTCTTTGGCTACTATATGAGAGCAACCAAAGAATTTGACATATATTATGACAGTCTAAAATTTCACAACAGACTAGTTTGCTTGAGTTAGCTTGTAGCTCCACTACAACTCTTACAATTTATTACTTTTTTTTTTTTTTTTTTTTTTAAAAAATGTTTTTTGGAAACATTTTCCATTCTGGTTTTAGATGCTGTGGAGCTGGAAAAATCTTTGAGTTTTATTTTATTTGATTTGATTTTTTTTTTTGTTGTTGTTGTTTCTGAACAGTTGTTGATATATAACCAAGACGGCTCTTTCCAAGTGGAAGCAGGTAGTGAGTATTTCAAAAATAAAAAAAATATCCATAAATACAAGCCCAAATATATGCTTTAGAGAGCTGGTATGTGAATTTAGACCAAAAGCAAAGCAGAGAGAAAGAAGATGAAGATTAAACCATGTACCATCAATCATGATGGAAAACTTGAGATCTGTGGCAAACAAAATGGATGAGCTTCACTCCTTTAAGGGAAATCTTGTAGATGCATACGCATCTTTTGAAAAATCTCCTCAGTACAGCTGATACGGTGTTTTGTGTTAACTTCCTAAATCATTTCATCACTCTGTGCGAATGTGAAATAAATATATATAGGTAAAAAAAAATACCAAATATAGCTATAAATATTCTGGGGTTAATATGATCTTAAACAGACATTTCATATCAAGAATACTTCATTTCCTCATTTGCTCGTTTCCTTGGTCAAAGACGGACTGTCAGGGTGAAAGGTCGTCTCCACGCCACGCCGTGCAGTGGCGGGAGGTCATCTCAAAGCGACCGGGCCTCCCTGCTCCAGTTCACAATCCACCTCCAGGATCCAATTAGAGGCGATCTCTTCTGACTCCTCTGACACACAAACATATGAGCATCCAAACACACGTCGGGATTTTCCTGGACTCCTGGCTATAATTAGGTCCAGCAGTGAATGTCACTGGGTATTCTAACAGGGTTCAGGCATGTTAGTGATGCAAGGAAGGATTTTTGACACTGTAGTTTAAGTAACATTTTTGACAAAATTTTGGGCTTGCTTTTTTCTCTTGAATGGGAATTATGAATTTGTGCATATGTGTTACTACAGATGTTTTTTTTTAGCTTGAGATAAAGTACTGTGCAAAAAGTATCAATTTGCTTTGAATATTTCTACATTGTGCACCGATTCACTTTTTTTCCCCACTTCTGATACCGATACTGATATCGATATGAGGTTTAGAATCGGCTGATACCGATCCAACACAGAAAAACGGTGCTGAATTGATTTAAAATGTTTATTGTTTTAAAACACAGACATAAATGTACTGAATTACAAATTCCTTTACTACATCTGCATCAGAACAGCACACTAAAACACACCAATAGCCTCACAAGCTTGGTCAAACAAAACAACACAACTTTAATTTGTTTAGTGAGTGCAAAATAAATAATAACGAAAGTGAAACTGACAAAAACAACAGAATGACTACCTTGGTCAAATATGTAAAATAAACCTTAACAAATCAAAGTGCAATTTGGTATTCTAACTATAAAATAAATAATAAATGATAACATCGCTAAGAGCACAAAGCATAGAATTAGACTGGATAGATCCACTCTTATCTTTTCATTTGCATTCAGACTCGGCAGTCTTCAAGGTGAACTCAGAGCATCAGCAGGAGTGTGAAATTTTGTTTTTGTTAAAAAATAAAAAGCTAACCAATTAACTTCAATGACACAATATGGAGAAAAAGATCCAATATTAAAACTGCTAATTATGTGCAGCACCTGTGATAGTTACAGCCAGAATCACAGGTATTAATTTAATAGGTCTCCTATGAACACATGTGCTGTGTGAGGAAAAGTCTGTTATGCAATGCAATATCCTCCTCTTTGATGAAAACTCTAAAAATAGAGCGGATAATAGTGTAAAAGAAATGAGTGACCACAGGGCAGACATTTGGAGAAAGGGTCCATTCTCAATGAATTAATTATATGTGCAGAAGTGAAATCATGCTGCAGAGCTTTTTTTTTTTTTCTCCCCCCCTCTCTTGAACCGGTAACCTTTCTTTTCACCAGGGTGGACTAAAATGTCAAATCTGCAGGGGAGTGGGAGTCACAGGCAGCCGCTGCTTCGCTGGTAAACACTCTGATGGAAGGAAACGGGCTCCTTCTGGGTGGCAGAAAGATCTCCAAATCTTACAGCAGCTCAGAGCGGAAACCAGTAGATGCTATTAATATATTAACTGGTTAAAAGTCATAAGAAAAAGTCTTTCCTATTAAATTACATCAGTGGACATCTGAGCTCCTCTGTGCCTTTAAATATGTTCATTGTTGAGATGAGACTTTGTGTGTTTCACACTTGATAGTCCAGTAAACTCGATTCGATTGGGGACCAAAATTGCATCATTTGTTACATTTTCAGTTGCATTTTGTCAAACCAACCAAAACCTTTGAAAAACCTGTTCACCTCCTCGCCTGTGGGGGCGCTGCATCAAGAACCACTGAAGTAAGTGACACGAAAACCTCAGAAAAAGACACTAAGTGCAACTTCCTTCTTTACAGAGTGTAAACATAAATAGAGCGGCATCAGATTTTAGCGGCTGTAAGATTTGTCTTTTGTCTTTGATAAATGACCATGACCCATTTCTAGATTTGTATGTTTGTTTTGGTCATAATTATCCAGAATGCCCTATAGTACACTTCCTGCTTTTGGAGTGGTCTTTGATCCGCTTGGCATTCACATATGCATTCTAACCGTGCCAGAGTTTACTTCAGTCGAACAGAGAGAGATCTAGGTTGTTAGGTGGACCAGAGTTTGGATTTTTCGACTGTCTCTCCCCAAACAAACTTTCTAGGCAAACAAACCTGAGTTTGATTAAAGTGGCCTAAACAGGGCTGGTGTGAATACTTTCAAAGGTCAGACATGTCAGTAACACACACTCTACGGTTTGATGTAAAACAAGGGATGAACGTCTAGAAAAGCACCTCATTATCAGATCAATAGAGAAATGCTTCATCGAGCCCACAAGCAAAGTTTCTAGACCTAAAACGTGTGACGTGAGCATCCAAACTTCCAGCTCACAGACCAGCCCTCGCCCTGCAACTGCCCGACTCAGCTCCTACAAACTAGTCAGCAACAATTAGCAAAATCCTGGTGGAACTGAGCATCATCTGAGCTCTTTACATGAGCTACTTCTCAGTCATAGCTGATAAAAACATAATCAAAGGGTTAGTAGAGCAGCAAAGTTTTGACGACTTCCTGAAGGTGGA